TACTCTGCTGCCCCACACCCTCTCCCCCATCTACCCCCCCCCCATGCCCCGCTTACTCTGCCCCCCACTGCCCCCCCACGCGCTCGCCAAAGTGAAAGCCACACTTTGGAAATGTTGGGTAGGGCTTGCTATTGTAATTTCAATTATTGCTCTTGTACAGGCCTATGTATAGGCTCGCCCCCCCCTCCCTCCCTATAAGAATGTGGAATTTCCACCACTGGCCGAGTCCTGCAAACGGGAGATGAGCACCGCCTCGATGCTCATTGAGAAGAAAATCACACGGCCGTCAACTTTTGTCATTTTTGGCGATGCGAGGTCACTTTCGCACGGCAGGTTGCGCACTGCCCTCGTCTCGAATTCTCACCTGCAGTTCAAACGAAATTCCCTTGAATAGAGGGGCGCATGGGTGGTCTGTGGTTGCTGGGTCGACTGACCCACGCTGTGTTCGACCACTACACCGCGGGTGACGCACTCACAAACTCACTCAACCGCCTACTCGCTCGCTCGCTCGCTCATTCGCCCATCGACTCACTCACCACACTTCTCTCTCTCCGCTTCTTCCCTCGCCGCTGCACCACGGTGGAATTCCCTCCCAACGTCTCTTCCCCCCTCCCCCCTCCCCCACCAAGATTTCTCAACAACAATAAACTTGCTCCATTCTCCTGTTACGACTTTGATTGTGCTCTTTGTTGCTGGCCGCTTTGGCGTGTTGGGCCTTTCGCGTCTGCGCTCAGCAACCTCGTGTTGTAAGACACGCAGTGTGTATCAGTTGCGCTCAGCTACCGACTGCTGACTCAGCCACGAAGCCTTATGCGTGCGGTATTTAAAGGTTGCGTCATCATCATCATCAGCACTTGTGTCGCCTCGTCGAGTGTAGAAACCACGCGGACTCGCAAATAACGAGACGCAGACGCGGTGCGTGCGTGCGCCGTTCTCCTGCTCGCGTCGAGCGGACTCACCATCGTCGACACTGAAACTCATAAAACAATTCTCGTTGCAGCGGCTCTTTCTCCTACGTCAGCAGTCCTCCTGTGTTTGTTGCGCACCTGATGACGGTTGCTTGTGTTGCGATCGAAACGTCGTGATCTATTATGTTTTCTACCTACGTGACTTTACCGAAAGAACAAACAGAGTATGGAGTGCTCTTGCCAAGGAACATTTGGGTAATGCAGCAGCAGCAATATCATTTGTTTCATAAGCCTGCATCGGCTGACCGAGACCCGGTCGATGGCTCACAAACGCGGCTGCGTAATATTGGTCTGGAAAGCCCGTGGTCTGGTGGACTGATTCATACCTTGAGGTGGTCGTGGGTGGTCGCAGAGAAATGTATTTTGCTTGTGCGCGGTTTTTTTTTACCCAAAGCATACGACTTGTCGTGTTCAAAAACGTTTGTTGGAGGTGTCTTATTAGACACATCTAGACACGACACTAACAGTGGCCGCGCCTGCTTCGAAGCCCAACAACTCTGCTCCATATCCCACCTTGTCACGGCTCCCACCTCCCACAAACCTCCCATCTCCCACCTACCTCCCACCTTCCACCCACTTCCCATCTCACACCAATCTCCCACTGACCTACCACCCACTGCCCATCTCCCACCTCCCACCATCTCCCACCCACCTCCCATCTCATACCTCCCACCCACTGCCCATCTCCCACCTCCCACCCACCTCTAATCTCCCATCTCCCACCCACTTCGCATCTCCCACCCACCTCCCTCCGACCTTCCACCTCCCATCTCCAACTGACCTCCCACCCATCTCCCACCTCCCACCCACCTCCCCCGTCTCTCATCCACCACCCACATCCCTGGACATGCCACCAACGTTCCTGGAAGGATCCGCCGCGGCATTGATGTCATCGTGACTGGATTTACGGACTCCTCGCCTTGACCAAGACGCGTGGGGAGCGGTGGTGCAGCGGTTAGCGCACCGAGAGACGAATCCCCGACAAGCCAAGTTCCACGACTACTATCAGTGGGCTAGTGACACCCGGACGCGGTCCTGTACCTCTCTCAGATCGGTTCAGCCTAAAATGAGTACTTGGCGCGCTGTGCAAACGTGTGGCATTGTGCTGCGACTCGCATGCCTTAATAGGTGCTCGCTGACAACGATGCAATATTCCAAACCGGCACCTGCACAATGAAATAATTGCATCGCTCCATCTCCTCGAAGGACGAACCTCTGGGACGCATTCCATTCATTTGCTGTTGCTCCCGTTCTATGTCAGAGACTGCTGTCAACACGCTATGTAAATTTAATGTCAAAAGCATTGAATTGTAAGCGATGATAACCAACTGAATGGGCAATCACGTGCACTGCAATGAAACTCGCTCAACGCGAATTGTTTTCCCAGGGGTCTGATGAAACCGCAGACGTTTGAATAATCAGATTGTATATTCTTCAGCATCATCATCAATCATACACGGCGTGGTTATGTACCCTACGCATGTAGTCAGTGTAATCTCGGAGTATTGACTCATCGTCGGTAACCGTTTTGAAAATCGAAACCCATAGCCAAAAAAAACTGGAGTTGTTCCCTTAACGAACCAGCGGTGTCAAGATCGGCCTCGGTCGAGGAGGCTTCGTGAAGGACGCTGCTACTGGGCAGTCGGAGGCAGTCGCCCTCCAACAACAGCGGAGGGCAGAGGAGCGACGCTCACAACAGCGAGCGGAGCGCCGGGCGGCTAAAACGCAGCGAGTTGGCGCAGTGGGGAGCACAGGCGGTGCATCTGCCAGTGGTGTTATTCAGTCGACCCATGGCACCACCTGGATCTGTCCCGTGACCTCATGCCAGCGAGCATTCGACACTGCACGGTGCACAGAGTCTGGCACAACCGTCCGTGGGGACATCACCACCGCATAGTTGCGAATGACGGCTGCTGTTGCTGTTGTGCATATTATGGAATGGCGTCCCTTGTAATCTAGCGGCGGTGCCTTACGCCAATATAATCTGTATAATCCAAGCCTGCCTCCGATAGCAGCGTTCCGTTCAAATATCCAGTGAGCGTTTGGCCACTCAAACGCCGCAAGCGGTGGGTCCACGGATGTATGCTGCGTGGCGCGTTCGCTGCGTGTCCCGCAGACAGCCCGACTACGCCCCTTGCACAACGACACGTCCCATCGCACGGGACCTTCCACGTGCAACATCAAACAATGAAGAGAAGAGTCTAGATTTAAAGCTTTCGTGACTGCTAGGATCCACACTCTTTGGTTCTATTGGGTAAAGTCACGTAGGTGAAAAAAAATAACAAAAAATCACGACGTTTCGGTCACGACACAAGCGGCCTTCATCAGGTGAAGGGACGAGACAGTCTCGTCCCTTCACCTCGTCGTGATTTTTTGTTATTTTATTTTTTTACCTACGTGACTTTACCCAATAGAACCAAAGAGTAATGAAGAGAAGGGCAACGTCGCGTTCGGCGGTTACGGATAACGGAGGAGCGGACAGAACCATGCGGTGAGCAGGGCGTGGTGGAGGGGCGCCGGGAGAAGGGATACGAGGGGAGAGAAGAACGAGAGCAGAGCGTAGCATTTGTTGTGAAATCATTCATTTAAAAAGGTGGGGGGCGGGGGGGCGCGGGGGGGCGCGGGGGGGCACGTAAAGCAAAGCATTGAAAAAGCAAAAAAAAACGAAATGATGAACGAAGCAAAGTGCCGACTACACCGAGCATCTTCTTGTTTCCTGTGATCGTAATAAAAAAATAAAGAGAGAGAGAAGCGAGGAGACGACGGACAGGCAAGACGTGAGGGTGGAGACGGGAAGGAGAAACGATGAAACGAGGAGAGACGACGAGAGGGAAGGACAGAGGAGGAGGGAGTGATAGGGGAGAGGGAATGAGAGATAATAGAGGCGATGAGAGTGGAGAAAGGAGTGACGAATTGAGGTGAGGGTACGAGGAGAGAGAAGGAGACGCGTGGTATGGAGGCGAGCGCAGGGGGAGGAGAGACGGGGGGGGGGGAGGAAGAGAGAGGATAGATGAGGAGGCGCGCGCGAAGGAGCGAGGATGAACGTGGAAAGGAGCGGAGGAGAGACGGGAGGAGATCAGACGAGAGGTGCGGAGATAAGAGAGTGGGGTAGAGTTGGGACAGAGTTAGGGCAGAGTGGGATAGAGAGGAGGATGAGGAGGAGAGAACGAGGGAGACGAGCGACAACCCGCTCGAGTTGACTCTCCAGCTGCGCAGACATCGACATCAGGAACCGCGGGCGCTCTCAAGTGCGCAGTGAGGGACAGGGGTCCGTGGACAGGGGTCCGTGCACAGGGGTCCGGAGAGAAGGGAGTCACTGGGGACGGTGGCTCGGGGGTCTGCGGGGCACGGGGTCTGGGGAAGGGGGGGCCCAGTGGGGGCTCGTGCCGAGGTTATTTCTGGAGGCGCTGCGATGGAGCTGATCTCATTCGCTCGCTACGCGTTGGCACCAGGTGCCGTTCCTGCTCCCCCTCCCTGCTCCCCCTCCCTGCTCCCCCACGCTCCCCCTGCTCCCTCTCTCTCTCTCTTGTCTCCCCCGACCCCGTGGCTCCGTGAGAGCGCAGAGGGCGCGCGTGAACAAACACTCGGAACGTCATCGGCGCAACGAAGCGGGCACTCGCGAACCGCAATGGATGTCCGCGTCTCGTGATGGGATCCGAATATTGACGCTGGGATTCTCCACCGGAGATGTCAACCGTGGAGCTCCAATAAGTGCTGAACTCCTTGTCTCTCACACAGACACACACACACAGAGACATATAGACACCACGGGCACACTCAATGAGCTCCACCACACCCCGCACTAGCGAGCAACTCCCCTCCCCACACATCCAGCACCATCCACCGCACATCCTTCCACCCCACCCCCCCCATCACCACCACCACACAGACCCCCCCCCCCGATCCCCTCCCCCCCCCCAAGTCCTCGCCATATTTAGCCCCACATTATGATCCCCTTAGCAAGCGCCGTCCAATAGAGACGCGAGATTCCCGGCGCCTCCCTGGTCGAACCTATAAAACGCAGGTGAGCGGCTCGCAAAGGGCCAGGGTGGATTCGGTTGGTTTCGTGCTGCTGCTACCGCTACCGCGCGTTCGTCCCTCCCTCCGTGGACTCTTCCCCCACCCCCTTACCCGCCCTCTAACCTCCTCGTCGTCGCCCTGACCGCGTCTCGCTCGTCGCGCCGCAGGAGTTGATTTGAGAGAAGCGTCAGAGGCCATGGCACCCAAGAAGGACGTGAAAAAGCCCGAGGCGGCCAAACCCGCGGCCAAGGCGGCGGCCCCAGCCGCCGCCGCTCCGGCACCGGCCCCGGAGCCCGCGCCTGCACCACCCCCGCCCAAGCTCGATCTCTCCTCCGTGAAGGTACCGATGGTTAGGTTGGAGAGGCGGCGGTGGGGGAGGGGGTGGTGGTGAGGGTTAGAGGGGAGGAGGAGGGGGGGGGGTCTGGTTCTTAGGATGGAAGGGAGGAAGATGGGGGGGGGGTCGAGAAAGGGGGGGGGGGGGCTGAAAGATTCACGCGGAGGAGGTTGTGGCGGGTGGAGAGAGGACGGACGGACGGACGCAGAGACTCGCAGACGGAATCGACGGAACGATGGGCAGACGGGCGAATGGATTGGATGGACGGGGAGAGCGGGGGGGGACGGCACTATTGACGCAAGGGATGCACGAGACGACCGACAGGCCGATGGGCAGACGGACGAAACGACGTGCGTGATGAGCTACACACGAGCCGAGGGATAAACTCACCGAGGAGGCAAATTTGCGGAGCGAATAAGCAGATGGACAGGGGGAGGACGGGGGGGTGGGGGGGGGGGGAGGACGTGTGCCCGGGCTGGTGGCAGGACGCGTAGGCAGAGGGTGCACGTTGAGACCGGGGTGTTCTTTGACGAAACGACGAACAGTCAGGGTGGAGGGGCTTGCCCCGCACGAGCGGCTAGGAGAGCTCGGAACTCACGCAACGCGCAGATCCACGTTACATACGATTGCAACGACGACGACAAGCAGATTTGTTGTTGTGCCGCTCACCACGTGGGCCGAACGAAACATCAATTGCGCGTGGCGACAGACGGTCGCGCGGAATGACAGCGCCACGCCAAGAGAGGCGTGCGGACGGACGCGCGGACAGAGAGACGGACACGTAGTGAGAGAGAGAGAGACGGACACGCGGACGCACGCGCACGAGAGGATTTCGCTCAATGCGGAGAGATTTGGCGGCGTGGAGAGACGGGGGGAGGGGGGGGGGGTCTTTGGAGAGGGAGTTCAGTGGGACGAAAGCTTCAGAGACGGCCGCCCCACAGCTCACGAACTTTGGGCGCCCTTCCCGCTGCCTCCAGACCAATGGACGACACCTCCACGGTAGTAGCCGCGCAAGTCGGCTCTGTAAATTCCCTTCACACGCAAAAAGAGGCAGCGTGGCTGTCTCCGCGTCTCGCAGACTCCCTCGCTCCGCCTTGGCAGCCTGTAGGAGGGGGCTTAGCTCGCCGATGAGCTCCAGCGGCGGTGAAAACCCGTGGAACCACTCTGCGTTCCCCCGTGATAGCCTTGCAGCTTTGCCTCGGCTGAGATTCATTGGTTTAACACGTAGCCTCTTCGCGACCGACATTATCCACAATAGAGAATTTCAGTTTCGGCGAGATCGCGTTGGACATTAATGCGTCGTGAAAACCCGCCGCCTAAACGGCACAGCCGATGAGTAGAGTTAAAACCCCCCACAGTTCGAGTGACGTGACGATTCGCCAGCAATTAGCCTCTCCAATTTTGTTGGGGGGGGGGGGTGGAGGCGGAGAGGGGGGGGGTTACGCGTGAAATTAGACGAACGCGCGGTTACAACACAGACTCGCCACGAGTGAACGGGGCGCCTGTGTGCAGGGAACACCTTTCACTCGAGCGGGGTCTGGGTAATGGAAGGGGGTCCTTCCCCTTTATACCGAGGGTAGCAGAGGGGGTGGTGGGTGTTGGGGAGGAGGGGGGAGGGGTAGTGATGTGGGGAGGGGGTGACCCGCTGCTCTGCTCTTACTCCAAATCCGCACACGGAGCACGGTCACGTGATGGGGTTAGCGTCAGGGTACAAAGAGTTGGGAGAGCCACCGGCCAGGGTCAGTGACGTCGTTGAGACAATCGGACGCCATGCGTGAGCTAGGGGCATGCACGTGACACAGGTGTGCATGCTGTACGGACCCGTGACACAGGTGTGCATGCTGTACTGACACGTGATGCGCGGTGTGCTTGCTGTACGGACACGTGATGCGAGGTGTGCATGCTGTACGGACACGTGATGCGCGGTGTGCTTGCTGTACGGACACGTGGCAATGGCTCGTGCATGCTGCTATTGCTGCTGTGACTGTTGGTGCGGTTGTTATTATAAATCCCTGGTCGCGCGAAGCGATTTCAGAGCCGGTCCAGATTCAGACATTGACTTCTGACACCGGCGTAAGGCACTACCACGAGAGTACAAGGTGCGCCTGTCCGTCATAGTAATGCCATTTTCCCCCTATAATCCTATGACCCACGGAACAAGTTCACAGTAAACGAGACGAGATGGATGTGGCGTGTCAAAGTAATCCCCGCGGCAGGCGCCGATTTACCGGACCGTTGCGGCATGCAATGATCGAAGAAGCGACGTGAGGCTAAGCTCACGTCGCTGATTGATTCGCGTCACGCGAATCACACGCGACGCGGACGCGGTGTCGAACTTATCCGAGCTGCTGCTGCTGCTGTTGCTGCTGCTACAGCTGCAGCAGCGCGCTAGCGTCGCGCTGCAAATCGCTAAAAGTGCGGACCGGGATTTGTAGATTTTGTCCTCGATCTGTTCCTGTGACGCTGTTGTGGTTGTGGAGAAGTGTGAGAGAGCCCTGTTTAGCTGTCAACGCATACGACACGAGTGTGTGACCGACCCGTGCTCTGTCGCGGCGCTAACTAATTAATTAATGGAGAAGTTAAGAGGTGAACATAAAAACAAATCATCACTCAACCCCCCCTCCTGCCCCCATCTCCCCTCTTTCTCTCTATCTCTCTCGCCCTCCGTACAACCACGTGACCTTGACCGTGACCCCCTCAACCCAGCCCACGCGGTGACCCCCCCCACCCCAACCCCGTACAATGGTCGGCGGTCTCCGCTTAGGTCACGAGTTCCCGAGTTGAACACCGGCTCCTCGAGGCCCGTGGCAGGCCTCGCGTTCACCTGACGGGTCCTTCGCTTGATCCTCACGGTGGTCCTTCACCTTGCCTAGAGGGCCCAGCGTCGGTCTGGGCAGTCCGTCGAACTTTCCGATTGGATGGGCCCTCTATCGTCCAGAAGATCCATCGCTTTCCCTGCTTGGTCCTTCGCCCTTGTCGGTGGATCCTTCAACCTTTAGAAGGTTCTTTGTTTTCCAAGAACTCTTCCTGGTGGTACTTGTTTCCCAGATGTCCCGAATTCCCGGCGGCTCTTCGTTCCTGGTGGTCCTTCAGAACTGGAGGTCCTTGATAACTGGAGGTCCTTGATAACTGGAGGTCCTTGATAACTGGAGGTTCTTCATTTCTGGTGGTCCTTCAGAACTGGAGGTCCTTGATAACTGGAGGTCATTCATTCCTGGCGGTCCTTCAGAATTGGAGGTCCTTGATAACTGGAGGTCCTTGATAACTGGAGGTTCTTCATTTCTGGTGGTCCTTCAGAATTGGAGGTCCTTGATAACTGGAGGCTCTTCATTTCTGGTGGTCCTTCAGAACTGGAGGTCCTTGATAACTGGAGGTCCTTGATAACTGGAGGTTCTTCATTTCTGGTGGTCCTTCAGAATTGGAGAGTCCTTCATTTCTGGTGGTCCTTCATTCCTAGTGGTCATTCAGAACTGGAAGTCCATCAATCCTGGTGGCTCTTCATTTCTGGTGGTTCTTCATAACTGGAGGTCCATCAATCCTCGTGGTTCAGGCTGTCTTCCTGGTGCTCCTTCATTCCTGGTGGCTCCGCTATTCCTTTTAAAGTCCTTCCATCATTCCCAAGCGATGCTTTGCCCCATTTGATTTGTCCTCTCTCTCTCAACAATGAAGCTGCGAGCTTAGCGTGTGGCTTTGCCGCGTCACCCCGCCCGGCTGTGTCGCGACTTCCTCCCCAAGTCGACAGCAGCCGCCGGGGTCGTCACCCGGACCCAGGCGCCGTGTGACACGCTGGCACGAGGGTGCAGCACTCGCCACTCAGCTGCTGAGTCGGGTCGAACCGCGACCGTGTCACCTGGACACCCCCGGGGGGGGGGGGGGGGGTGGGGATGTCAACCTGTCGCCCCCGTGGCAAATTATCGAGCTGCGTCGTCGTCCACGCCGGTGTTTGTCGCGGCCGTTTCGCAGAAGCGTCTCGACTCCGACCTAATTAAAGGCGAGGCTTCTTTTCACGAGCTGGCAATGTTTTTTTTTTTGAAAGTTAACTTTTTGTTTCCGTTAAGTTGAAATATCTCAATCTTGATTTAAAGCTTTCGTGACTGCAGCAATCCATGCTCTTTGGTTCTTTCGGTAAAGTCATCAGGTAGGTAGAAAAAGTAAAAATAAAACAAACAAAAATTATACATCACGACGTTTCGAGCGCAGCTGCTACAGCAGTGGAACTGGAGCTGGATCATTTCTTCCGCCTGAGGACGACCGCTTACGTTGAAATATCTCAACCGGAAAGTCCCTTTGAGGTGGGATGTCTCAGACGTCTGCCTGGACGTCCCAGGGCGTCAGCGACGACACGCGCCGCGTGCCCTATCCCCCCGCCCCCACCCCCTGCCTGCCCACTCCTAGTTCGTCATCTCCACCGCGCGCTCCTTGCAGTACCCGCGACTCGACACCCCTTCGAAAGCGCCGCCTTGTCCAGGCTGCCGGGTGTCACCACGGCGCGGTTCTCTCTCTCTCTCAGAGCGACGCGCGCCGCCTGGCGTCCGAGTCGGGTTTCTCGTCGGCCGTGGCTGAGGCCACGCACGGCCCCGTAGCCGCTGACCTCCCGTTCGCCAACGTCGTCGACTCCTCGCAGAGTCTTGCGATTTATCGCTGAGGTCCATCTTTGTCTTCTTCCAAGTTGGGATGCTTCTGTCGCCGGAATCGCACATCGCCTTGTCCCATCCTACCCTGCTCGCGGGTCACGCCAATAAAGTCGCCCACCGTCTCACTCACCCACTCACTCACTCACCCCGTTACTCACCCACCCTGTCACTCACTTACTCACTCAACCTGTCACCCACTCACTCACACACCCTGTCAATCACTCACTCACTCACTCACCCTGTCACTCATTCACTCATTCACCCTGTCACTCACTCACCCTGGCACCCACTCACTCACACACCCTGTCAATCACTCACTCACTCACTCACCCTGTCACTCATTCACTCATTCACCCTGTCACTCACTCACCC